GTGCACTTTTCCCCTCCAAAAATCTTCAGACATAAAAGATATAAAAGTGCAAGATATAAAAGTAATCATAAGTAGGTTTAACAAAAAGTTTATTAGACGGCCCCTAATTAATTCAAGTTGTTGAGAAATATTTATAATTTATTTGTGAAAAATGAAAACAAAACAATAAGAGTGTTTAGTGAAGAAAATGAAGAGATGGAGAAAATTTCGTTCAATCAAATGGAAGATTGGATGAAATTTTATCTGTTTTCTCTTTTATCAAGCCAAACATATTATACAATGCTAAAAGCCCTTAATCTACCATCGCCTTCTCTTCCATTTTCTCTTTCAAGAATGCAGAATCTTGAATCCCCTAAATCTCAAAAGGTGTAATTATCCTAATGTAATTTGAAAAATGCATTACTAGAGAACAAGGTATAATTAAAAGATAATTTTGTCCATTATTGCTTACATTCTATTAGTTATACTTATAATCAATAGACATAATTGAAAAATATATCTACTAAATAAACATGAGTTGAAAATGTTTTAATCAGCAGTAAATCTCTCTATTAAACTAGTTACCAGCAAATGTTTTTTATAATAAAAAATAGTATAATTGATAGTCATTTTTTGTTTGTTATAAATAACATTTGGAGATAATTATAATTAAGACAATGGCTGTAAGCAGAACATTGATAAAAGTCGAGATTCAAATCCCTTAATTACCATCTGGTTGCAAATAATTCTAAAGAGCAATGCCTACTATCCATGAATGTTTGCTTGATAGTATTTATGGATAAGATAATTTGTAGATACCGATGGGATTAGTTAGACCAAAGTACTAGATATGCAAGCTATAAACAAATAAAATAAACTCTAAAAATGGAAAATTGCTAGCTGCTTTTGACTTATGCATTCTTTTATGGGAAGATGATATATTGTTAGTGTAATATCATTTAAAGTATAACCATCCACATCGGCATAGTGATTCAAGAAAATTAACATCTTTGGGTATTGACTCCAAGACTCTAATCATGAATTGGACTTACGAGACAAGATTTATTTAACAGTAGAACCGGGTTAACTCACATCTTTTTGTTTAACCCAAAGCATGTAATTTCAATTTTTTGCGATACAAA